TGCTATTATTAAAGAAAGGGGAAACAAAGCGGTGGGGAGCTTCTGTATAAATGATCCACATCCACCATTAGTCTCATCTCTTATCATTTTCAAACCGAGAGCTAATAGAACGCAGAAGCAAGGGAGGTCCAGGAAACGTTTGCGAGCTTAACCCTTTGAGTAGGGTTGTCAAAAATACGAGAGAAATGGTACGCAAACCTTCCGCATAATATCGTCCATCAATCACGGTGCTCGTAGTGGGTTTTGGGGGCAAGAAATTTCTACGTTTACCATCATAGAAATTAGGGTACCAGAGAATCCGGAAGCCGGATTAAGCTCAGATTTTATATACGAACTTCCTGCAGCGAGGGGATATTAGGACGGTCTCGGATTTTAATTCGGGGTTCGTTCGTGAAATTGACGTTTTAGTACGGGAAGGTTAAAACGGTGTTAGAACGGCCAGAACTGATCATCATCAGCAGCAGTAGATAGGTGTATAGGTGGGAGTTGAGCAAGAGTTGAAGGCAAGATGAGGTATGGTCTTCAACTATTCTGTGTTGGACTACTACTCGGGATTTTGGCCAGTGATCCACACCTTTTTGTAAAAATGTTTTGAGAACGTTTTTCATGTGCATACTAGATTCTGATGTAGTGTGAGATATCCACAGGTGTGGAAAGTTGATGATATGTGTATATGTTGTGTAACTGTGTAAGTTGTGACGATTATGGCTTGTATCAGTATAGTATGCAGTTGTGTAGTATGAAACTGTGACTATGGCTATGAAAGCCAATGCTTATGGTTGTGAGTATATATGTTTGTGATGAATTATTTTGCAGGATAAGTTGCAAGAACTGTTAGCCCATTACGCGAGTAATTCATGTCGAAATTTTATTTGGGTAAATTTTGATAATTAATGTAACACCCAAGTTTAATTCCGCTGCAATTGTATGAACAATATGATTAGGCAAAACGTATAGGGTAGGGTGTTACAGTTTGGTATCAGAGCCTGGTTTGTTTTCTGCATTATGGGTATGTTACTTTCACTCTTGAGGACTGATCACCCTCGAAAGGGGAGAGAGTACTCCATACCTGTACTTGCACTAAACTCTCCAGGATTTGGACCAAAGGTGATGATGTGTTGCATAGTCAGTTGCATATGGTTAAGCATGATTTTGAGTATTTGAAGGAATCTTGAAAATTTTATGGTTTAAGAGATTTTTGAAAATATGTGGAGTTTTTATCTTGTTGTCCAAGTAATGATTTTGAAGAAAATTTTGTTTCAACCAAGTGAGTAACTTGGTTAGACACAAATTGTGTGTGGATCAAACTAAGGCCAATGTTTCCTTGTAGTTGCACAGAAGTACTTTTAGTGTTCCTACTAACCAATCGAGAAGCATAGTGGCTAGCTATACAATGCAGTTGAATTTAGACTATGATGACATGATGAGTTGTGATGGTAGATATCTAAACAGAGATATGAATCTTGATGTTGTTCTAGTAACCATTTTGTAGGTTGATATAACCTTGTGTGAGTGGCAACCTACCTTGCAGGTTAATAACTTGGTTTACTGAATTATGCTTTTGAACTTGTTGATGTGCTTTTGTTGTGATAGCCCAGTATAGGTTTCTGAAACCTAAACATGGGAACTGGTGGTGTTATGTGTTTACTGTTGTACTTCAGAGCTCCTAACCTAAGAGTTAGGTAGTAACCAGATATGTGGTAGTATATGCTAGTAGGGGAATGAAGAGATGCTTAGTATTGACTCAAGGTTAGATTTCGGGGAAGAAATCATTTTAAGTAGGGGAGAATTGTAACATCCCATTTCGGCTAAACCCGTATTTAAATTTCTAAAAATTACGTTATTTAAATCGGGTGTTTTGATAGTATTTCAACAAAAATCGAAATATCGCAAACGGATAAGTATATGTTATTATATCAATTTATAAAGATATATATCAATCATTATATATATCTCTCTGTACACATTATATACAACGTGTTTGCTGTAGAGGGATGGGGATAATGAAATTTAAAATGCTATTATTAAAGAAAGGGGAAACAAAGCGGTGGGGAGCTTCTGTATAAATGATCCACATCCACCATTAGTCTCATCTCTTATCATTTTCAAACCGAGAGCTAATAGAACGCAGAAGCAAGGGAGGTCCAGGAAACGTTTGCGAGCTTAACCCTTTGAGTAGGGTTGTCAAAAATACGAGAGAAATGGTACGCAAACCTTCCGCATATCGTCCATCAATCACGGTGCTTGTAGTGGGTTTTGGGGGCAAGAAATTTCTACGTTTACCATCATAGAAATTAGGGTACCAGAGAATCCGGAAGCCGGATTAAGCTCAGATTTTATATACGAACTTCCTGCAGCGAGGGGATATTAGGACAGTCTCGGATTTTAATTCGGGGTTCGTTCGTGAAATTGACGTTTTAGTACGGGAAGGTTAAAACGGTGTTTGAACGGCCGGAACTGATCATCATCAGCAGTAGATAGGTGTATAGGTGGGAGTTGAGCAAGAGTTGAAGGCAAGATGAGGTATGGTCTTCAACTATTCTGTGTTGGACTACTACTCGGGATTTTGGCCAGTGATCCACACCTTTTTGTAAAAATGTTTTGAGAACGTTTTTCATGTGCATACTAGATTCTGATGTAGTGTGAGATATCCACAGGTGTGGAAAGTTGATGATATGTGCATATGTTGTGTAACTGTGTAAGTTGTGACGATTATGGCTTGTATCAGTATAGTATGCAGTTGTGTAGTATGAAACTGTGACTATGGCTATGAAAGCCAATGCTTATGGTTGTGAGTATATATGTTTGTGATGAATTATTTTGCAGGATAAGTTGCAAGAACTGTTAGCCCATTACGCGAGTAATTCATGTCGAAATTTTATTTGGGTAAATTTTGATAATTAATGTAACACCCAAGTTTAATTCCGCTGCAATTGTATGAACAATATGATTAGGCAAAACGTATAGGGTAGGGTGTTACATTTACAGGCTCTTTCATCGGTATTCTGGTTGCACACGGACTAATGCATATTGTTTGAGTCGGTCTTGTAATAATGTTGAGTCTCTGTCCCATCCCGTCTGGGCTTGCCTTCGAAAAAAAATTATCCCTCCCACTTCTTTTGAGAAATTAGAATTATGGTAGGGTTTGGAGAGTGTAGGGTGACGTAATAAGTGGGGGGGGGGGGTATCCATGGGTCGGGTATTCCTAAACCAAAATCAAACCCAACCCGATGAACAATGTAATGGTTTAAACCCGAAACCCGCCAACACGGGTTTTACCCAACACGAGTTTTTATGTCATCCCTAGTTCTAAGTTTAGTCATCAAATTCGGTCAAAAAAGTTTATGATTTTCCCTTTGAGTATATTTGAGGATTTTACTTTTGTGGGACCAGGAGTCAAACTCATCGATGTGACGGATAACGATGATGAAGAGGAGTCATGCGTTGAAGTTAGGGAGGGACCACGGGGAGTACGTGGTGGCCTATGGCAAGATCGTGTGTATGATTGCCACCAGGAGGACCCCCATTCAGGCTAGGAGGAACATCAGGTGAAGCAAACAATGACATGAGTCATGAGCTAAAGAAAGTCAAAAGAAGGTAGATCATTCGTGGTTGGGGCTTCATGGTACATAACATTCTCCAGAAAGGTGACATGATAGGAGATAACGCATGCGACGTTCAATGTAATCATAACAGAGGTAATTCCCTTATAAAGTGAACGGTATATGATGAAAAAACAATGTGCATTCTTGGGAGCTTAGCTTATGGTGTGCTCATTTGGGAAGAAGCACGAAGCAAACTAACCAAAAAATCCGAAGACGTGAATAGTCCGGCAGCTTTGAATATAAACAATGAAAACGTGATGTGTCATTCAACCCATATGTGATCTAACGATTAATCAAATAGACGACAGTACTCACAACTTCTACCCAAAAATCATTCACCAAATGAGAATGGAAAGGGATAGCACGAGTTCACTCTATGACATGTCATGCTTCCCTTCAACTAGACCATTGTGATGAGAGACACTCGGACATGATTGTTGAGGCAGGATCCCACGAGAGGTATAAAACTCAAGTAATGGATTCGAGATAAACTCCGAGCCACGATCAGATTGAATAACTTTTACTACCTTACCAAATTGAGCGTGCCATCTGAATAAAGGCCTCCAAATGATCATCTAACTCGGACTTCTGAAGCATAAAATATATCCAAGCATATATGATAGTGTTTATCTATGAAGAATACAAAATAATGGTAACTCATCAGATAGGTGGCAAGAGAAGGCCCCCATAATCATGTGAATGAGATCAAATGGGGACTCATATTATGTCTCACTAGATGAAAAAAGTGCATGTGAGGCCTTCGCCTCAATGCAACTAATGCATGGTTGGGTATTGAATTTGGAGCAACTGAATGGGTAATAAAATTCTTCGAAACATATGCAATAATCGAGCGGTATGCGGATATCCAATACTTTAATGCCATAAATCCCAAACTGAAATCGAGTTTTGTAACATACATTTTGTGGAACCCAAAGTCTTAACAAATAAAAAACCAAATGACTTGGAAGAAGTATATGACACATGTGTTGTAGCACACTCATTCAAACAACTAAACTGTGAATGAGCGGCGGATCAAGCATCAGCACTCACCAGCAGCACTCGCAGCCCAACTCTCACGTCCCTGACATGTCTCGTCCGGCTTGCAATCGGACAACGACGATGATACTGTCCTGGACAAATACTCTGCCATCCTTCTTACTCGTGCAGACAGAACACACCCCCTGATCATTAAACGTAACTGCATAGCCATCATCTATCAATTGTCGCGCCCCCGATCATCATGAAGAAGATATAATGTATTTTCCCGTTCTACAATTAGACAATGGTACCTAAATTATATATTTAACAGACCATTCCTTCCTCTCTAAGATGGTCCAACTCTTGGGGGGAAAATCTCTATGATGACGAGCAAAAAGGAACAAATACAAGGAATCACCATGTTTCAACCCTCTATTGCTCGAGAATTCACCATTGACAAGAACACAAGCTTTGAAAGCGTGACAGTAATTCCATATTATACACGTTCATGTATACATACAAATAAAAAATAGAAGTTCAAAAGAAGAAGCCTTCAAAATTATAGTGCGAAACCAAACCCCAACCAAATATGCTGTCTTTCTTTCTTCATTATTCAGACTCCCACGCAATCGCCAAACTCCATCCCCGGATTGCTCCACATATATATAATATAACCCTCCTCATTTTCTTGTCTTACTAACTACCACCAAAACCAAAATTAAACAAATAATCTCCCCCATTAGAAACATTCATCTAATAAAATTTCATCATCACGTTACGTAACATTCTCTTCTCCTTTTCCCTTTCTTCTTACTATCAGATTAATAAATTCAATGATTACTTCCCTATGATCAAGTTTCATCCAGAAAAGAATTATATATATGGCATGATCAGCACTTGGGTAGATCAGATGGAGGTGGCAAAATTGATTCGTTGGGTCCTTTCCCGTTATCCACCACCCACGCCATCTTCAGCCCCCATGTCGTATGCACCTCCAGATGGCAATGCATAAACCAAACCCCTAAACATAATCAACACACGCACAAAAAAACCATCAGAATAAGATTCAGCCCGAAAAAGTCGAACCCAATGGAATGGAACCCATCAACTCTTTGTCACCTGGATTATCAGCTCTGAACCTGATGGCGGTCCAACCACCGGCTGGAACCCCAACCGTATTCCTCTCAACCGGGTCGACAAGGTTGAACCTCCTCGGATCCTTCTCCGGGTCGAAATTCCCCACGCCCCGACCCACCTCGAAGAAATTAAACCCGTGGAGATGAATCGGGTGGTTCTCGGGTGTAATCATCCCCGTATCCTGCAAAACCAGCTGCACGGCGTCGTTGTACGCCAGCCTGTACACCCGCGTCCCGTTCTGCGTCGCCAAGTTCGCGGGCTGGGCCGTAGTATTCGTGTAGTCATACGGTTGTGCCGGGTTTGCGGGAAAGTCGTCGGTGAACACCCCTTCGATGCCGAAGTAATGGGCCTGGAGCAGGCCCACAGTGGGCATGTCGAACGTGATGTTGTTGAAATCAGCCACGACGCGGGCCCCACCGGTGCACGTGGGGCACGTGTTGAGGCCGAGCGAGATGGTGAAGAAGAGCGAGTGGTCGACGGTGGTGGGGACGTTGGCCGGGTACTCTTTGGAGTTGAGGGCGAGGAGGGAGTTGGTGAACTTTGTGGCGACGAGGGTGGAGTTGATGGGCGGTGGGGCGGTGAGGGAGACCGGAGAGGCCATCTGAGTGCCGGTGTAGTGGAGGATGGCAGTGGCAGTGCGGTTGTCAACGGTGATGGGGGCGTCCATGAAGGGGGAAACGGAGACGATGTACCTGCCGGAGCCCTGTTGGGTTGTGACGAGGACGTTGGTGGTCTGGCCTGGGCCCAAAACAATGGTGTCGACTTTGAACGGCTTGACGTAGGTGGCGTCGACTTCGACGACGGTGAGCTTGTGGCCGGCGATTTTGAAGAAGAGCTCCTCGTTGAGCCCGGCGTTGATGACCCGGAGCATGTACGTCATGTTGGGCCGGACGGGGAGGGTGAATCCTTCTGTACAATCAAATAGTGAATCAAGAAACCATCAGAAAAAAATAGTGAAACGGTATCGAAAAGTTATTGATAGAATATTTTTTGAATTCAATTATTTTGTATCACTCAAATCATCTATCATTTGGGTTTGATATTCGAGAATTTCTGTCAAACCAGCTGGTACGACTAGGAATGACAATTTGAACATATTCGGCAAGTATTACCCTACCTGATCGACGATAGGGTGAGTATTACCCGATCCGTAATAGCATGGGCGCAGGGCATGAATATCTACGTTTGACTCCCCTAACCCGCCCTGTTTTGTCCCCATTATATCATATTTCTTACGATATTTATTTATATCTCTTATTTTAGTTTTTTTAACTAGTTAAACTTGATTTTTCAACTAGTTAGACTCAATTACTCATCTCTTATTACTTCATTCATAAAGTATTTTTTCTTCATTTTATCGTAAAAAATAAATTTTGGGTATATTATTTTCAAATAAGATGTAAAAGTGAGTCGATTCGCCTGTATTATCCCTCCAACCATTTTTAATGTTGGATGGATATGAGTATTGAATTACCCATCACACCCCCACTTATTTTCCATCACTAGGTACGATAGGTTTCTAGAACATTGCTAAATTGAAGTACGAAGTGAAGTAGGGTTTGCTTACTTTGGGAAGGACAGCCGGCGACGGGTCCGGTGAGGCCGTTGATGGTATGGGCGTCGGAGATGTTGGGTGCGCCACCGGAGTTGAGAGCTTCCTTGATCACATCTTCGACGTCGGATTTCCACCATTCGGCTAACACCAAGGTATGCTCCTTGTGCGGTTTGGGGTACGGGTAAGGAACGCCGCGTTTTGGCAAGATGACAATTGCTCCGTGGACGGTGGCCCTAAGCCAGAGAATGTGAGCGTGCCAGAGAAGAGTTCCCCGCTGACCGGTTAGGGTGAAATTGTACAGGTACGTCTGGCCCGGCTGGAGCGGGCATTGGGTTATGTACGCCGGCCCGTCGGCCCAACCGGTTCGCAGCTGTCTGATCCCATGCCTGCACCCCGTCGATCGAATTAATTCCGACGTCCAAATTAAATATATGTTCAATTAATCATTGTGCGATTAAATAATAATAATAAGATTTATTTATGATAGCCAACGTACCAATGGATGCTCATGTTGTATTGGACGTGGTTGACAACCTTAACGAGAACGGTGTCGTCTTCACGAGCAACGAGGGTAGGCCCAGGGAATTGGCCATTCACCGTGACGATGGGCTTGGTTGAGCAGAGTCTGCTCGTGTTGGCCAGCACCACCTGTCCATTTAGCACAGCCGCCACTGTTATATTCCTATATTTAATTTGTTTTCTTGTTTCTGTCCAACAATTAATTAGTTAAATGATAGAAAAGGTAACTGCTGTTGGTGACCAGAAATGACCGAACCATACAGTTCCCTCTCAACTACATGCAATTCGAACAAATATATATATATATAAAAATGCTGACCCAAAGTCACATCAGGCAGTGGTGTAACACAAAACGTGGCAGTTGGTTCAACTACTTGCACACATATGTATTTGCGCATATAATATATATCGTTTGACGTAAACGCATCCTACAGCCTAACTAATAAGCCTGCCAGTTGGCGACATAATCAAATCAGATATATTGCAGAGAAAGAAAAATTGACAATTAAACTAATTTGGATTAGTGAGCTATGAATGAATATTACATATATATAATTGACCTTCCACTCCATTTACAATTTTACGTTCCTCCATATAGTAAGTAGCTAGTTTTGTTGACATTTTACTATGTAATTTCTATTTGTATATCAATATTTGTGATTTTCCCCCAACAATAATGATGCATTTAAATTCATTTAATTATCACATATAATTATTTTGGGAGAAAATCATAATAAGTTAGTTAATGTAACAAGCAATTTCTTTAAAAAGAGGAAACATGTCGACTTTAATTTGTTATATTCGCTTCAATTTTCATGTCTACAGAGTATTTAATTATTAGTGATAGTGATTGTTATTTGAATCGAAATTACCATCGATGTGATAAACTAAGAGAAAAATGATTATGATAAATAAATGATTATAGCATCGTGAGAGGGAAGGACATGCAACGGAAAAAAATGCATAATATTTATCCGCGTCCAGAAAACAAATCTTCCACCAGATATGAATCAGTTCAGCCATCAGTGATGGTGGCGGACTCAACCACGATTCACGACCGACTTCTTTTCCTCTCTTTTTTTTTATATTTTTTATGATGAACTGGACTGACTTTTAGGCTATAGCAGTATAGCAGATGAATCAAGGTCGACCATGAAAAGCATTTAGAGAAGCAGGCAGCATGGATATTACTGACGTATATACATGAAAGGATGGCCATGACTTACATTGAACTTGTAGTGGCGAACCATGCACTCAACGGGTGAAGGCAGGAGAGAAGTCGCCGCCAGGAGAACCAACGGCAGGATCATAACCGGAGACCACCTAAACGTCGTCGTAGCCATCTTCGTCAACTGTACGTGTTACCGGCGCCGGCTACGTTCGTAGCAGTCCTTTTCCCCCTGCCGGCCGGAAATAGGGCAAACAAATGCTGGCTAGCTAGCTACTAGGCAGAAGGCTCTATGTTTATCCCGTTAGTTGCTTGGGAGTAAGGATTGGCCATGCAAATATATATATAGCCCGCCCATTTATTATTAAGGGTTGGGAGAAATACGCGCTGTTGCCAGGTCGTTTTAGAAGAGCAGGTGGGGTGGGATGTGTAGACGTATGGACCGATAAATAGATTAAAGATACTTAACGGCAAAGCTCCTCTACAACTACATCCCACTTCCTCCCCTCCCCTCATCTCCTTTAGTTTTAGTTTATTATTTATTTGAAAAAAAATGCTGGAGAGTAAGTGGGCCAAAAGGTGCTCCAAGTCCATGGTCTCGTTGTATATCAAACCGGTTGAACCACAAAATTCATTTACCATCGGTCTGCCTCATGCGAAACACATACAAGTTTCTACATCCTGTGACATAGGGAGAGTTACGTGCAACCTTCTTAATATTTGATTTTAATATTATATGATGTGCATCGTATAGTAAATAGACATTAAAAAGTGATAGGATGGTACTTGTTAAGTTGTGATCAGTCCCTCACATACAATATCCAGACTTCAATTCCAATACGTTGTTATCATTGTCGGTGGATACAATGTGATCGAACTTCCTATTTGCATTTACACCTAGCTTTGTCGAGGTTTTAGCGTACAGAAGGTATACCAGAGAAGTTAGGTGTAGGGCATTTTGCACCGTTAAATCCGCCTACGTTTGGTATTTTCCGGTCCGACTAGATAAAGTTTCTAAAAATATTGGTTATAATATTATATTATTAGTTGAACATATATTATCTTACTTGGATATTATTTTAACAATGCTATCGCACCTATCGATGTGTTATTGCAACTCGGAAACTATAATGAAAATAAAGAGGAAGGCAGGCGGCAAGTCTGTGGGGATGTAGCAAGTCTAATAAGTCTTTTCTTGTATGGCACACAAAAGTAGTTAAGTCGATGAGACAGACAGACAAACCAACGAACGAACAAACAGAAGCGGACAGAAGCTGGGAGGCTCGATCGATCGCGGTCATAGCAAGCAAACCAAGTTTTTCCCCAGAATTGATAAGCTACCAGGTTGAAATTGGTGGACATGGCAAAGGCGGCCAAGGTAAAAGTAAAGAGCCACAAGGGAGAAGATGAGATGGTGGTCAGCAACCTCTCCAACCGTATGGATAAATTATATTGGGGTTAATGTGGCAACCAATCTCGCACCTACCCTCTAACTGCGCGCGAAGTGTGATCACTTTTTTCTTGCTTAGGCTTAGCTAATCCTCTTCCATTCGTTCTTATCTCCCTAGCTTATTCGTTCCTTTAATTACTTTCTAAACTTATTGCTATTTATATATAACTAGCTAAGTACGAATTGAAGCCTGGATCTCAACCACTTATGGACACTTGTGATTATCACCTTTATTTTGGCAAAATTGATAATCGTTGCACGATATATGTTGATTTATGATAAAACTAGGATTGGAACTTGGAAGTAATTTGACACGTAAAGATGTTAATCCTAATTATACGGGTGATGTTTGTTGGGTCAAGATGTTAGTCTACAGTTGGGTTTTGGGTTGGGCCTTTGTTTAGTGAGTCAAATAAAGAGTCCATAAGATTAGCAGAAAGATAGACCGTCGGTGTTAGTTGCTTATTTTTAGTTGTTAGTAGTTGCTAGCTTTAAGGACTTTGACTGTTAAGCACTTCCTTGTTTATTGTTTTATAGGCCGAGCAATAGGGGATTAGTGGCTGATTTCTAGCAGTCATTAGTTAAGCTTGATGTATTTAAGTTTGGTTTGTCGTTCTAATAACATCATCAAGTTTGCAAGGCAATACATATTACATTGTGGTATCAGAGCCTACGAGCAAGCTATGATCGGTGAGAGAGAGTGGGAAAGGGAAACATGAGTGTTCTTGGTGAGGATTATGTTTCAGGGTGAGTGCAAACACAACAGGATAAGTGAGATTGAGGGCTTGCTCAGGTTGGTTTGCCATCATTATGATCACTGGAGTCTCCTGATGCAAAGATGCAATTACACTAGATTTCACTACTATTGTCTGCTACATACTCACTAACTCACAAATCATTCATACTAATTGTTAAATATTAAAGATAAACATCCACAAACAATATGATTAATTGAACTTGTGAGGAAATAGTTTAAAAATTATAGTTAATTAGTTAAGGGCTCCGTGGGTCGTGGGATGTATGAAGTTGGGTGTGGGTATGCGGGTTGGATATGACTAAACCCATACCCAACCAAACCTGCCATAAGTATGGTGGGTTTTAAATCCGAACCCCACCTGCAATCCATCAAAACGGGTTGGTCGGGTAGAATACCCGCGAATTCGGGTTCAACTCTCATCCCTACCTCAAATACCCCCAAGGCTCCTTAGCATTTTCAATAGTGGAAATGCCGAAACAGCATCAACCGGACATGAGTCAATATACCTTAAAATCATAAACAAAAGATAAACAAAACATATGTATAGTGTTGTTCCTAGTGGCAGATCCATGGGGCTCTAGGGGTGTCCCGGGACACCTCAAAAATTTGGTAACACGATTATTCAACGCCTGATAGTAATTTTCATATAGGTAAAAAAAAATTAAGTGATACTTGGACACTACTAAATTTTGGAAAAATGATTATTATCCCCAATAGTAGTTTGTGCATGTGTAAATATAAACATCTAAGTAGTTGCCTATGTGACTTGAACTTGGGTTGCTTTTACTATTAGTAAACATATTTTTATTAGACCATAACTCATATGTTCTTGTATTTCAAATCCAAATATAATAGTATAAATTTATTTCTTATCGCAATTATTTTCAAAAGCTAACGATTAAATCAATTTACGGGCTCCGCTTGTTAGGGGTGGGAAACGATGCGGTTGTGGTTAACTGCACTGCGATCGCAGATAGGGCGGTTAGTGGTGAATCGCAAACCACAAAATGCGGTTAACGATGTACAGCGATCGCAAACCCAATATCGCCAACCGCGATCGCAAAAGAGGCTATTTTTGCGGTTTACGGTTAAACACTAACCGCGCGGTTAGTAGTTTACCGCAAAATCGCAACCGTTTTCCCAACCCTACCTCTTGTCTAGTAGGATATATCGAGAGAGATTTGTAGAGCATTGTTAGACACATACTGTAGTTTACAATTTTTTCACACTACGAATCGCGTCATGTGCTTTGTTAGTTTGGACAAGTCAAATATTTTCTTATTTAATAATTATTTAATTATTAATGTGACTTAATTCATAGAAGAGGACACCCTTATATAAAATTTCTGGATCCGCCACGGGTTATTCCCAACCTGAGTAAGATTTATCAACTGTATCTAGAGCTATAACCAACTCATTGATGAAGGTTGTTCTTGCTCTTCAAGGCAACACAAATAGTCCTGCTCCAGAGATTGTAGTTGGATGCTCCAGTGGGTTTGATAGGGAAAACGAGTGACGCACTTGGGTTGATATATTAGAGACTAGTAACACTAGGTGTAGGGACTAGTAATGTTAGGTGCAATGGTAGAAAGATAATCCAAAATTTGTAAAAGTAGAGCTAGAAGAACTATCAGCATCTGTGTTGCCATAGCTAAGTGAAAAGGAAAATGAGGAAGAAACAATGCAAGTACAAGAAACCTTAATCGCTTGAACCATACTATAATACCATTAGAAACTTGTACAGGGGATCCGATTTAGAGGGAACCCAACCCACAAAGGGACTCTTGACTCTTGAGCCACTAGGGTTGTATTTGTATATATACTGCGAATGAAATCGCCATATGTACAAGCTAGGTACCTAAGTTTGCCTACAGCGGTAATAAACTAACTAAACACTAACTACCAATAAAAAAATAGACACGTGCCTTGTACAATTATTATTGAAACAAAATGGACACCAAGTTGTTCACTCCCAGCTCAGCTCATTACTTATTGGTAGAAACAAAGTCGTGCTACAAGCTCTGTGGACTGTGGAATCCTTGGTTCAGGTTCGTACCCAACAACAAACTTCCCAGATTTCGTTTCTCCAATATACGGACCTCACTTGGAAAATGAGTACACATTAAAAGTGGTATGTTCTTAAGGTGACACCAACAAAATTTGACCATAAACCCTCTCTTTTGAAGACAATGTTATATCATTGAGACACATGTTGCAACTCATAATCTTTGACCCCATTAAAAATTATTTCTAACTACGTCGATTCGGCTGCTTCTATGGCATCACCGTCCCGGACATCCTCTAGTCGGTGACAAGTCCTTCATCTAGTTCTGCCTCTCTCTCTCTCTCTCTCTTGGATTTCTTGTTCGACATGATCGGTGGAAAGGCCGGTCGGCTCTGCTTTCTCCTCTATTCGTTCCTTTTCCGGTCTCGAATTTTCTTATCTGGGTTGTCATTCTCTAGCCACCACCGTCCACCGGTGAACCGCTCCTTCTAAGGTTGCGAAGATCCCTCAATCTGCTTCTTCTCCCCCCTGCTATGTTTCGTTCCCTCTTCCCATATTCAGAGAGAGGGCTGAATGGAACGGGCCAAGGGCCAGAGGCCAGCCTCGTGTGAGGAGCACCAACAGACTTCGGCCTAACTCTTTCCATTCGGCCCGTTACCAATTTCGTAGTCCGTAGTCCGTGGCTTGCTTTACTTTTCATTTCCTTGAATCCGCTGCCAATGCTACGGTGCCGCTATTAAAACTGCGGCACCGATAACGCACATTTTAATTGGCCCACGTGGATGTGAGGTGGCATGGAATTGTGCGGCACAAATCCAATTTAAACCTATTGACCCACTGGACAACCGAACCAAAGAGACGGGATGGAATTTCCACTCAGCCGTTTGGCTATTTCTTATTAATTTACCATTTATTAATTCAAAATTCATTTGTTTCTCTACTGCTTTTCTTTTCTCATGTAACTGTAACAAAATAGCGAAGGAAAGGGATTAACCGAGAGGCGTCTTCCTCGATCGGGGTTTCGTCTATGAACATAAAATTACCGACGAGCTTCACCATCGTCGATTCAAACTCTCTCTAGTCTCTAGCACATGCCTCCA